ATAGATAGATAGATAGATAGAGTACGTATTGATTGCTGTGTATCAACCGTGCCAGGCCAGTGCAACATGTTGGCATTGTGGTTTATTCTAGGACTGGTCACTTTTGTGACAGTGAGTGTGTGTGTGTGTGTGTGTGTGTGTGTGTGTGTGTGTGTGTGTGTGTGTGTGTGTGTGCTTGTGTGTGTGTGTCTGTGTGTCTGTGTGTTTCTAAATGCGTATATGTGTTTGGCATAACTTCAATTCTAGTTTAAAGGAGACAAGGTACATGTGGTTAGTTTTGTATTCTAAACTGGGAGTCTGCTAAAAACATCACACCTGAACAAAAAGTGCAACGTATTACCATTTCAAACCTGGTTCCGGAGTCACTATGCTTTTCTTGATGTTTAGCACAATACAGTTGTCTTTTTCTCTTTCTTTGCGTTCCCTCAATAAAAAGTAACTGCTTGTATGACGTCAACATTTGCTTTAAAAATAGTACGTAATCCATTTGCGAATATGTAATATAACTAACAAATGATAATTTTGTTGTGAACGCCAAAGGTCACCATACCTATCATTAAAGAAGGAAGTGTGACTATCTGCACCTCATCTGTTTACACCACCCAGCACTGTTTCACAGCGTGTCTATGATACACAAGTCAATGAAAACAAGACCGGAGGACTACCATATAAGACATGGACCAATGGATTCAGGGAGCTTGTGCCATAATAGCACCCCATCAATGATCAAGTCTTTCGACTAACAACACACTGACGCCATTCTGATTCTGCGACTCCTACAATAATATAAGCCACAGGAGAAAGTAAAGAAAAGCAAATGTACAACCACTCTGGATTCGGTCCTGATAAAGAATCCTCTATGACAATTCATGGTTACTCTTTCTCCTCAGTTTGACCTCGCCATTCACAAACAGATGTGGCAAAGTTGAGGGGGGAAAAGACGACAGTTAACCTGCCCAAGTTTGCAAACTCGAATCGAAAAAAAAAATATTTCTTTACCTCTTTCACCTTGGCATTTTTGTCATGTCAGCCAATTTTCCACTGTGGTGATCAGCCCCCCCCCCCCCCCCCCCCCCCCGGGGTCCTTCTTGCTAATGAAACTTAATTCAGTTTACAACTTCTTTGGTTATATATTATGAAGTTCATCCAGAACATTTAAACCGGCGCTTGCTGTGTGCCTTTAGGTTCTCTACCTTGCACGCACAAGACGTGTTTGTTTTCGGTTTCCTCGGGGTAAATATGTTTTATCGAATATCTACGTTTTTCCGCAGGGATGTTGTGATGCTGTATCCCTCTCAGTTCAGGTTGACCTTCACGATATGTAGTGTTAAAGCTGCCCGAATCCTAGGTTGTCTAAAATTACGTTGATGGGGCAACGAGCAAAGGATTAACAACAAACATGTGAGAATATAATATGCCCGTTATTCAATGGAAACCGGCTAAAGAACAGACGAGGAAGTCAGCAGTTTGCGACATGGGTTTATTTCTATCGATAAACGTGGAGAGAAAAAAAAACTTGACCAGGGATTTTGTCTATAACAAATCAGAATCTATACAACTTTTAAAATCATATCATCTATTCATACAATATTTACCAGTTCCAATTAAACGCAATATACCAAGCCTACATGCATGAGTTCTAAGACTGTGCTGTGGAAAAAAAGATGTGTAGGAAAACTGTAAAAAAAACAACAACCAAGTAACAAATGAGTAGACAGAACAGGGTTGTCGAGACTAAACAAACGCTTTAAAAATGATTAGCAAATGATACGTTTGCCTTCTACTGGACTGCTAGAGATGGAGGAAGCTGAGGTTATTCGAAATGCTTAGTGTGTGGAAGGGGGGCGGTGGGGGGAATATTAAAGAGAAGCGATGTAGCCCTATCTTGGTTTTGTGGAGAATATCAGAACTCCATTAAAGCTCAATCCTTTATCTTCCCTCGAGTGCGTGGAGCGACAATTGGGTGTATTGAAAAAAAAACCCACCTGACTTACCCTATTCAAACTGAGAAATGGAGAGTATCTCCTGAAATCATAGCCAGTCTTTTTCCATCTTGTGAGTGTACTACATGTAGCTCAACAACCCATGTCTTACCTTTTCTAACAGCATCTCAAATTGTCTTTTAGAATTCTATTTGTTATCTGTGGTGTCCAGAAGGATTACAGAAGTTATTGCTTCCATGATACCAGCAAATTTCCTTAAGAATCTTGGACACGAATATTTTGGGCTTCAAATGCTGGTGGCAGTGGTCTTTACATTCTGATGGGCATTGGTGTGCTCTCTTGTTCTGGGGGTGGGGGAAGGGTCGACATTAAACAGGCGTGCCCAAGAGTACTTTAGATATCTTCTTGTTGCCCTGATCGTTTAATAAGGACAGTTTACATCTTGTATTCATTTGACCCCTGTAACCTAAGTATCCCCCTTATCTAAAAAAAAAAAAAAGTCATCGTAATGCCCGATCAAAAACCGCTTTCAGTGTGCAACTGCATCCAAATCTTTCAAAGGTGATTAACGTAATAAAAAGTTTTAGACAGTACCACAAACATATATCATTTTAACCCAAAAAAAACTGATAGTAAAAATACGAGTTCCAGGTAACCTATAGTCAAGAAGATGACTTCCAAGCGAGGATTCCCATGAGCTCACTTTAATTGTCTTGGCCCACCAGTTCATTCTCACTTTCCATCTCAATGGTAGCTTACTGACCACTTCCGCTTGCTTATCATCTGGTACTTATTCTCGATCAATTTCTATGGCTTCCCTTTGATGCAGCAGATCCCTACTTCAGAAAATCCCCCATGCCGCGACCATGTCAAGTGCAAAGGTATACATGAAAGCGCGTTGAGTCATACTTCTGGGAAATATAGGTTTACTGGAATCTGTGAGCTTGTAGTGTTATTGTGCTTCATAAGAAAAGCACAAAGTGTTCCAAAAGAAGCTTGAGCTAACAAGCACACAAAGTCTGCGAAGAACTGAAACAGCTCAAAGCTTGGAAAGAAAATAACTTGTTTGCTGAATTGAAAGGAGCTTTGTGTTCAGGCAATCGTCTGATTCTGAAAAGAAACAACAACAGAAAAATGAAATGTTACTAGGTACAGAAAATCCAGTGGATTTTAGCGTGCGTTGGACAAGACTGAGCTCACAGGTCAGTCGTAGCTATTGACTGCACTACCTGTACAAGAGAATCATTTCTTTCAGACAGAAATGAAACATTTTATTTTGAGTAGCTTTTGTGAAATATTTATTTAACCTGAGTGCCCTTCTTTTGCACTACGTTTCTTGGAATTTCAAAAGAAAAACCTCGTTTGGAACACTCTGCACCAATACATCTTTGTCTTACTTAAAACGGCATAGCATGAGACCATAATATTATACACGAGGGTTCTAATTGGGATGAAAATCTACTCGCTATTACTCCGCTAGACATTGGACTGTTAGACAACAATGGAAAAAATGCCAAACGGAAACTTGTCACAGTGCATTATATCAGGGATGATAGAAATATATAAAAAACAGCATTGACATGTACACGAAAAACACAACAAGGATTCTGACTCAATAAACATCATGGAACAAGTTTGAAGGAATTTTATCTTTCTATGATTCCACTTTGTTATTGTAATTAATTCAATGATTAGAAATTTTTTAAGTTGTTAACGAGACAATGTCATTCTTTAAATCGATTTGGAAGAAGACTGCTTCTAGTAACATTGTTTTTCAGGGTGTGTGTACTCTGACTTTTCCGACGCCATTGAGATACGTCACTATACTGTCACTGTCAATCAATTAGTTTTGTTAGTTGTTCCTTTAATTCAAAAGCTGCATCTCCAGCATTATCTTAGACAGAACAGCAATGTTCCCACTATAGCAGGGACGCACTGACGGTAGACCCTGCAACTCCCTGACAAATGTACTGAAAACCGCGCGAGCTCTCAAGTCGGTCAGGTATTTAATTTATGAAAGTAAGACAAAGGGGAAAGCAGTTTGTTGGGAGGGGGAGGGGGCAGTTTGTGGGACAAAAAGAGTCAGTTGACGCTCACAACTGTTAGACTATCAAGTTCTTCACTGCACATACCTTTGTTAGCTTTGAGGCAATCCAAATTTGTAATCAAGTAGTGTATTTTTTTTCTTTCTTTGTAAATTAGGGCAGGCACTTCGGAAGGGCGTCTCTTCTCGACAAAAGGAGTTAGATGAAAAGGGGCCATTCAATAGCTGAGATTCCAATGGGAAAGTCAGTAAACCTCTGAGAGTCTCTAGCTCTGAACAAATATCTGTAATAAGCTTGCATGCTGAAAATAATTGCAAAGTATGTACCATTGTTCGACTTAACATTGTAGAAGAATTGCATCAACTTACACGAATCGTAACACTTCAGAAATGGCCATTTTAATTATACTTGTGGAACATTCTGGTTTTGTACACTTTCTACATCTCAATTTAATTAATTTTTTGTTAAATTTCAGTAGAAATACACGTACTCTCTCGTAATGTGATGCTTTTTTCTGAGATCTTTAAAGTATAGTTTAATTCTTTGAGCATGCGTTGATTTATCTTGTATTTGGATTTTTTATTTTTGACTACGATTTCAGCTCTTATGTATACTTCAAAGACCACATTCCAGACACTACACATGGAACACTCAACTACTGAGAACTCTCAATATTTACATTAATCTCCAATAATGTTTATAAAAATAAGCAAAAGGGAAACAAATATACAAAGAAACAAACCTACGAACGAAAACTTTAAGGACACATCATTTGTATAAATGCAAAAAGAAACATCCATTTTCATAGTAAAAAATACTAACACAATTGTAATTCTATACGATTAAAGCAATGAATACATGTACACGTGGTTGTTCAGTATAAACAGCTAACTATCAAGCAGCTTTGCCTAATACAAAGTTACAGGCTTTGTGACTTCTTAGAGTCAGGGAAACAAAGCCCAAGAATCCTGCAAAGCCTTTTCCTAATGCCACACTCTCCAAATCCTTCAGCGCCAAATAACAGGGGGATAATGGCTTTATGGAGACTATTAAAAGTCTTAAGGAGCTCTCTCTACACACGCACCCCTTGTGGACGCTTGTGATTTATGCAGTTCACATACGTAATATTAGTTTGATACAGGCATCTGCCATTATTCTCATATCAAGTACTGATGTACAAAAACGCTGGGAGATGGGGATCGGGGTCAGGCCAGTGGGACACGCAAAAATTGTATACAGGTGAAAGTATTCTCAACCATTTGTATTTCTTTCTCTGGTGCTGGTTTGGCAAATGTTACTTGTAGCATTAAGATTAATGTTGTAGGCTTAAAAATACAATATCAGTAAAAAGTCTAAGGGCATATTATTTACAGTCGTGTGACCACCTAAAGGCTCACACGGCTGTACAATGGTACCAGTAGAACTGTATTTAAGGTAATAATGATATTCGCTTCGCATTTTTTTTCATAATCAGTTCAGGGTGAAAGCCTTACGACTTGTCTGTAGCGGTCTTTACAGAGTTTGGGCATCTCGAGGGGAAACCGTTATCTAAATTCTTCTGAGTTTGCAACCTTTGAAAACATCTCCGTATTAATTATAAAAAATATTGGGGCCTAAGATCAATTGATGGAGTTGTGATCTCCTAGCATAATTAGATTGACTCACTTCTCCACGAACTTTGCATTTTTCAGACATTTACAGGTCGATAAATGACGAGACACACTGGTGCTTTTAAAACTCTGTTCTCGTGAATCAGGACGTTGTTCGAGGCAAGAAGCCGAAACAACTGACCTCAGCATAGACATAGATCTCGCTCCATTTTGTGCAAAGTAGAACCTTTATTTTCAATTATTATAAACATGCACACTTCTCATAAACTAGTGAGGTGCGCACAGAGCCTTAAAAACCCCAATCCTTTAAAAGATGGTATCTAGATGATGACAACTAACTAAATGACGTCCGATCAGACATCTTTGACACCAACGTCTGAGGAAATATCTGGATACCCGATCAAATGAACAGTCCAGTTTGTAATAATAAGAGCCAAGCCAATGTATTTTTACATTACGTATTTAAGCAATTAGCGCTTGACCCAGAAGCTGAGACACATCGTGAAGAATGATTACGATAATTGGTAATTATTTGTTACAGTTAGCAATCGATCTAAAATAGTATCCCACAGTGGGAAGGTTAGTGTCAATGTCCATTTCCCTTTTTTGAAAATAAGAAACCAAAATTTTCAAAACGAACCCTCAACAGATAGAGCAAGAGGGTTGGGTTGAGATGCAGGGTCCGTACGTCGCCCATAAGGAGCGTCATAGTTACAAGTTCACGCTTCAACTTGTCTGGTGTGTCACAATGTTCATCGTCACATGCGAATACACACTAACACGATGACAGGCCAGAACTGTTCGCACACAAAAAGCTTCTGCGAGAACACAAACTGGGAAACGTTTTTTAGAGTTATCTGTTGGCCCTCTTTCATGCACTCGTCCACCTGTCAGGGTTCTCAAGTTTTTATAACCGCAAAGAACTTCATTCTCCATTTAGATGACGTATTTCTGTCAGGAAGTTTGTAAGAAATCCATGAAGTCCGTTATCGAATCGTTTCGCGACACACCGGCTAGTCAGTCCGCCGCCTTCAAAAAGTTACTGAGAGCGCGGTCCTCCAGCTCCGACTTGGACATAGCGTTGTCGCGCTTTTTCATCTTATTTCCTCCGTCCTCGCCTTTCTTTCCCTTCTTGCGACCTTTCCTACCCTTCTTTCCCTTCCTCCTTTTTCCTTTTCTTCCCTTTTTATTTCCTTTCTTCCCTCGCTTCTGTTTCTTCTTCCTCCTCCTCCGCTCCTTCTTCGAGGACCCCGGTTGCTTCTGATCTTCATGTAAGTTGTCGATGACGGTTTTGAACAACTGCTTGCAGTCGCCCTTTCTGATGGCGCGGAGACCTTTACGGAACTCCTTATCCTTGCGCTTCCAAGCCATGCCGAAGTTGATGACGATTTTCCCGTTGCGTTTGTTGCCCATGAGCAGGTACTTCCCTTGAGTGTCGTTGATGGTCTCACATGTGCACGCAGTACCTCCAGCGATGACGACTGGCAGGTTCTTCGCCTCTTTCTTCTCCATGTTCTCGAACTTGTACAGTTTGCGACGTTTTCGAAGGACAAGCTCCAAGTCGGTGCCCAGAACGCGGCGATCCTTCAAAGTGACTCGCATAGCTGAAAAAGAAAAGAGCGAGAAGATTTTCCGTATGTTGTCTTCTTCAGAACACTGACAAAAATGTGTCACGACGCGGTGGGATCAGGCGCTCGTCAAAGTAAGGAAATCGAAGAAACCGACATTTTTTCCGCCCCTTAAACAATTTTAATCGATTTTATTTTTTTATTCTACACTTTTTCATGCCTATTCAAAAACACATTTCTGTATGGATTTTAGTCTAAAACGCTGATCAAAGGAATTTTAATGTAAATTTGCAGTTTCCAAGGACAGTCAATCTTTGGAATGCACCAAACTTTGGCGGACATTTTCTCGCTAATTTCACCCCTGACGCCAAGCAATTCCCGATTCCTTCATTGGCAAATATTGAGACTTCCCTCCAAGAGGGACAGGCTTTTTCGTTCACCAAAAGCAAGATAAATGAAAGATGATACCAAAATTGACGAGAGCCTGATTCCATCGCTTCGTGACACAAATGTTCAAGAGAGTTAAGAAGTTAGAAAAATAAAACAGCATGATTTTTTTGTTATTGTTCATAACAACAACATAAAGATTCCGGGGGAGTGAAGTGGATAACTAATTGATTGACGTGTTGTATAATCACAGAACATAAATACGTGTATTACGGACATTATGCATACCTGAGACTTTTAAAAAATACTAAAATCGAAACATTAATCACGAAAAGAGATGCAACAAGCTAGAATAGATGAGTGGTTTACATCATAATCACAGAAATGTTGCTGGTCCTCCACGTTTGAAGATGACCATGACTTCAAGTAACTACAGAAATAGTGAACAACTGGAAGACATGTAGATTGTTTATTGTGTTGAGAGAACATTTCACTAGTGGCAAAAATTGATAGGACATAAACGATACTTTGATGTGTGTGAGTGTGAGTGTGTGTGTGTGTGTGTGTGTGTGTGTGT